TGTAGTGTTTCATATATTTTTGTAGTTTTCTAAATTGAATAATTTGGCATTCTACTTAAGTGTACTTGCTGGATGCAGCTCAGGTGTAGTATCACGCAGACTGTGGCACTCACTGTGACTTGGCTATTCTGTAACAGCATGAAAACATTTATACAGGACAACAGTGTGCAGAAGCACGTTGCAGAGAGGCTGTGCCAGCATAGTCCTAACCACCTCCATTCTTTGTTCCAGTAACTCCCCTTGGAAATTGTGGCTGCAGCATGTGAAAGTCAACAGGTCTTCTGATGATCCTGTTATTGTCTGGGATAGCCAACGTCACCAGAGTCCCAAAGCTGATATGGACCTGATACAAAAAAGAGTGTCAACCAATACTTGATGGAAACTTCCCACACTTTTGGAAATGTAGGAATGAAACCCCCATGGCAAAATGCTCCTCTGCTGTTTTTATTCTTAGCTGGATCAGCTGTTATCACTCACACACAATTAATACAAATATAAGCTTCGCCAAATATTTGCATGATTTTTATAATTAGATGTCTACCAAACAGGCCTATCTATTCTGACTGGTTTTTATTTCCATTACTTTTTATTTATAGTTGCTTTCCTTCAAGCACTATTTACAGCTGCTAAACTGATATCTAGAACCTCATGGCTTAGAAAACACAAATGTTTTTCTCAGTCCTAAAAGATTCTTCAAAGAACCCACAATGCAGTAATTCTACCATGTATTCTGAAATTCGTTAGAGTTTTGGGTCAGAGATTCTGGTTGAAAGATTGAACCAACTGTAAATTCCTCCAATTAAGAAATATCATACAACTCTATGGTTTGTCCATGCAATACTTATACCAAGATTTGCTGTTTCCAATTTTATTGTCTTCTCAAGAGACATCTCACTCCAGTAGACAAGCATTTTGTTTCAATTTTAAAACAGAAAAAATTCATTTTGATATTAGGAAAATGCAAATCAGGAGCCACAGAAAGTGGCAAAGAACAGTGCCATAACATGTAAAAATAAATTAATCTATTAGAAGTGTACACAAAGTCTAAACAGACCCAAAATTACTGGTTAAGTATTTTGAGTTGGGCATAAAACCACCAGTTTTTAAGGCCATAGGTTTTGGAAATTTAGTTTGTGCAACTGGAACACACATACTTTTGGAAAAGCTTCTAAAATAAATTTTAAAAACAGTCAGCAGTTCAGAGCTGAAAGCCACTCATTTAACAATTCATTCTTGTTAAAAATGTTCTTAAATTCTATTTTTCAGTTTAAAAGTATGTGCAAAAGTTTCTAAAGCGGAATTAAAGGATATATAGCTAACTAAATGCAAAGAAAAAACACTTTAATTCACTTGCTTTAGGTAGTAAATATACACTTTCATCCCCAATTGCAACTAATCAGAAGCAGCTTCTCAGTTGTGACTGAGGGGGCCCATAAAAATCTCATGGAGTTCAACAAAGCAAAGTGCAATATTCTTGCCTTGATCTAAGGGCTAAGACAAGCACAGTTTTAGGCTCGGCAGAGAATGGAATGAGAGCAGCCCTGAGGAGAAGGAAGGTCTTGAGGGGAGTTGTGGATAAGCAGCTCCACGTGACCTTCTCATGCGCTGCTGTAGCCCAGGACACAGATGACCCTCTGGGCTGCATTGAGGGAAGTATGGTCAGCAGGTCAAAGGAGGTGATTCTCGTCCTGTACTCTGTTCTCCTCTGTTGTGACCCCAGCTGAAGTACTGGATTCAGCTCTGAGATTCTCAATATAAGGACATGGACCTATTGGACTGGGTACAGAGCAGGCCACAAAGATGCTCAGAGGGTTGGAGAAGACAGAGTGTGAGAGCTGAGGTTGTTCAGCGTGGAGAAGCATCTGGAGAGAGCTTAGAGCCCTTTCCAGTACCCAAAGGGGCTACAAAAGAGCTGAAGAGACACTTTTGACAAGGGAATGCAGTGATAGGACAAGGAAAAATAGCTTCAAACTGACAGAAGGTAGCTTGATACTTGAGTATTAGGATGAAATTTTTGACTGTGAGGGTGGCGAGGGACTGGAGCAGGTTGTGCAGAAAAGCTGTGGATGCCCCATCCCTGGAAGTATTCAAGGCCATATTGGACGAGGCTCTGAGCAACCAGGTAAAATGGGATGTGTCCCTGCACAGGGGTTGAACTAGATGGTCTTTGAGGTCCCTTGCAACCCAAACTACACTGTGATTTGATGACTTTGGGATGACAATGTATTTTTATCTTGGTTTATACATGTTACAAAACATACTAATTTATCTTCATTTGTGGCAAGAATGGACATTTCATTCTAACTAATCAATGTCACTCAGAAACAATCATCACATATTAATAGTATAAATTACAGTATTGTTATATTTTAGTACTTTCTAGTGGTCTCAGTTCTAAGCTACCATTGAAGTTATGAAACAGAAGAAAGGATAGAAGAGAAGAAGACATATTACCTTTTCCTCCAGGCTTTACTGGGATGATGTTACTTGAGAGGGCATAGCAGATAAATCTTACATATATTTTTCCCATAATATGTTCGCTAAAACTGCTAAACCATTTGTTTAATTAGACAAATTAAAGCATTTACAAAGTTTTCCTGGTGTTTCCTTAATGAGTCAATCTAAGAAATTTAACATGGTGTCTGATCATGCTCAAACTCAATTTAATAGCAATTCTCCCACAGATGTGAAAATGGAAAAAGTAGACTCTTATTCAGAATAAAGCAATTTTCAGTGAAATGGATGTTTCTGACAGAGCTCTCTCTCCATATGCTCTGGCTAAAAGGTATTGTCTTCACTGAAATAGCTTTGTTTAAATAGTAATAGTCATGTAGGAAACATGAGCTAGGCATGCAGTTCATGAACACAAGCCACACCATAGTGATCTGCATTGCTACGCCTTAACTTCAAGCTACCTATGTTACCAAAGAATGTAGGCTTCAAGGACAAACTTTAAAAAGCAAAGAACAGTACCATAACATGTAAAAACAAATTAATCTATTAGAGGTGTACATAAAGTCTAGACAGACCCAAAATTAAGTTTAGGAAATTTTATAATGGTATCTTAAAAAAATTCTAACATTCAGCTTTTTTTCTCAGCTCTCAGAAGCACAAGACAAACATTTCCTGATGAAGAACAGTCTCAAAAAGGGCACTTTCTCTATTACCTAATGGGATTATGTACCTGCTTTTAGACACCTTTTTTTAAATCTGCAAATGAAATAAGAGCCTTATTTAATATTGATTACCCTATACCCCAGGGAACAATAAGTCTTTTGAATTAATTCTTTGTAAACAGAAGATTTTTTTATTTGTTTTGCTGAGAGCAGATTTGGAATGCTGGAATAGATCCACAAGGCAAATTATCTCCTGTGTTTTAACTGACATACTTCTATATGTAAATCATGAACACAGCAATGCATGTAAGATATTGTACATGCATTACACCTCTAGGTCAAAATATGACTTCAGCTAAGACAAACATAGAAAAAAATGCAATGTTTTAACCATACATTCACTTTTTGCCAAATATTCTTATATGCCAGTTTGCAAAAATGCCAACTACTGAATGAAATGCTATCCAACGAATGTAACAAAGCAGAACAGGGATAAATAACTCACTTGAAGATCTTTAAAGAATTCCCAGCTCTCACACTGTGCTGTTCATTCAGAATTATTGAAGCTCACAGTTTTGTCAGTTTGCAATGCAGACAACATGCTACCCAAAATAGTCAGCACATCAGGAGTTAACACATCACTTACATGATGCAAACCAGTTCTACCCCTCAACATTCTCACAGCTCCTCCTTATCTCTTCTTTGAGCATCTTAGATATTTCTCATAGTTACATGAACCACATGAGAATCAAAAATCTACATACCATCACTTCACCATTATCTTAGTTTCATATATTTCGCAAAGGAAATAGACTGAGTATTGTCCTGCATCCCATAAGCAGACTGTGTGAAAAACCCATCCATAACCCAAGAATTATGAACACTGCTCTCTTTTATGTTTTAAGGTTGAAAATACAAATAGGTCTAAAAAAGTGCAAATATTTGTCAAATGAGCACCATATACTACACTGTTTACTAATAACCTCCTATTTAAAGCTGTGTATCAATATGCTAGAAGAGTAAATCATTTAACAAAATCAGTGAATCACCCCACATAGTTGGTTTTTTTTCCTCATCTTAACACCTTTACATGGTAAAGGCTATCAACCTCACTAGCTCAGGTCTCTGCGAAATTTTAATTCACTCACTTTAGGCAGTAAATACACTCTTTTTATCAATACAGAGAGAAGAAAAATAGTAAAAAATTGGAAAAAAAGGTAGAAAATTCCACTACTCTCAGTCAAACTCTCAGTATTTCTCTTGTGGAAAACAGCACACACTACTCCATTTTTATCACATCCATAACTCCTAAGAGGGGAAAAGCTTGAAGAGCTCTAAAGAGCTCTATGAAGTGGAGTCCACTATGCTCTCATAAGGCCTGGCTATGACTGCCACCTGTGCACAACCAGAGATAAGGGAAATTTGTCTTTAAGAAACTTCACTGTGAAAACTTTGCACACAAAAACACAGATCAGTAAGAGAAGTACATAAGAGGAAAATAAAAGATACTCTTTGGCATGAATTCTTTGTTCACATTAAAACGGGAGATTGTTTACACTTGAGAAATTAAAGGTTTTAGAAAAAGAATCAGGACATGTTGGCCACTTATAAGAAGTTACTAGATGGCTTCCAGATAGGTTAAAGTGCTGTGACAAAGATGAAAGGTTTCATGATTATATTAAAAGCTGAACTATACCATGATGTTTATCTAGTGAAACAAAAAACACTGTCATTAAAACACATTTGAAAGGGCAATAAATCCTGTGCCAGAAGTTTCCAGTACCATATGGCATGCTTGGAAGAAATCATAGTTGTTCTAAAAAAACCAAACAAATAAACAACGCCACCAGCTAGAAGACCACATGCTAAAAGTTACAAAGTTACCTTACTTGATCTTTTCCAACTCTTCCTCATCAGCATTGTCTGAAAATAAAATAGAGGATTTTTATTACCTTTTCTCTGCAATACAGAAAAGGGGGCCAACAGTCTCAAACAGGGCAATTCACATTTAACCACCACTACGACTGAAGCAGCAGCATGTACACTCCAGCAACAGATACACACAAGACTGAAATAAATCCAGACAAGTAGCAGCCCTGTGCACACCCAGGCATACTTTTCTGGGTCTTATGAGTGTCTCATTTCTGGACACAATGCATTACATAAACTTGCAAGAAAGAAAAAATAGAAAAGACAGAAAGAACTAGATTAAAAAATGAAAATAAATAATTATGCCATGATAGATAGTGATTTCAATTCTGACTGATATATGAATATTTATTTATTAATTCTTAATAACAAAGTACTCCAACCTTTTTGAATACTACTGATTTACTCACAGGTGTAGCCACAAAAGAGAAAACCTGCATGAGACTCTTTTGATTGCATGAATCTATCATAACATCCTTAAGGTTATCACTGCCTGCTCATTTCACAGCAGTAAAAATAGTTCTTTGGTTTGATAATTACATACATGAAATAGAAAAAAAAATTAACTATACCTCCACTCCTTTAAAAAACCAAACCTCAGTTTCCCTGTCCCGTTACCTAGACAATCTGTAAAACCTTGGCACTGTACCAAAGTACACTGAGCCAAAGTACCTGTGACAGATTCCTAATAATTAAATAAAAGAGACATTATGGTCAAGTAGGTTGTGGAAGGTTTATCTGTAAACACAATTGTTGCTTAAAGCATTTCTGTGGAAAGGCAAAGAAATTAGTTTATCCAACTTAATAAGGTTTATCAGCCTGTTACTGATACCACGCAGGAATAAATCAAAGGCCATTAATTTCTACTGAAACTTTTGCTGTAAAAAAACAAACATAATTTAAAATTTTTATTAATTATTTCAAAAACACTTGCTTTTTCAGATAACTGAAATACATTTTGAAATTAAAATATTTTCCTTGCTAAGAAATTAAATTATATTTTGGTGAAAAAAATAAAATGAGAGAAAATGTGTGTGGGGTTTTATTTCTGAAATACCCAGAATTTTTCAAATAGACATAGTTTTTTGTGAGACGAAAAATAACTGGCCACTGAGGAAACTTTTTAAATTGCTATGGACAGTTAAATCCTAAGCACTCTGCAGTAAGTTAATAATAATTGTAGCACTGTGGCTTTGGAAAAGATACTAAATGTTTTATTAAGCTAGAGAATGCCATTTAACTAACTTTTCTAGAGAGGCATGTAAGTATTTAACAGCTTGAGGCTCACGGCAGGCCCTGAAGAAAATCTGAGTTCCTGGGTCCTGTTCAACACAGCACAGCCCCTCCTTTCCTTGCCGTTTCTGAATCCTACATAGCTACTGGTCAGAGCACAAACTCAGCTTCACTGTGCTTCAGACCAGGCTGTGAGCAAGGAACAGAGGAAGTCCTGACAGCTGAATTTACTACACAGGTTTAGATTAGATACTAGGAAGAAATTCTTCACTATGAGGGTGGTGAGGCATTGGAATTTGTTAGCCAAGGAAGTTGTGGCTGCACTATTCCTGCAAGTGTTCCTGGCCAGGTTGGATGGGGCCCTGAGCAACCTGATGGGGCCCTGAGCAACCTGATCTAGAGTGAAACTAAATGATCTTTAAACTCTCTTCCAAACCAAACCACTCGATGACTCTTTCAGCTCTGAGTAGTTCAGTTTGTGTAGTAGCTACAGAAAGGAATGACCACCCTTACTGAGTAAATGGCATCATTATCAGCTAAAACAGGATAAGCTGAAGCCATAACAACCATCCTTAAAAGCCAATGAAATAAATATATATCATAGGGCAGATCAGCATGGATGATCTACATGGTATTTATTAATCTGAAAATATTCCATACTTTGAGTCTATTGCTGGAGTTTTTCTCTATTATGTTAATGTCCCTCTGGCAAATAAATAAATAATGCAAGATATTATTTAAGACAGCAAGCAAACTGACAGCACATTAATGTTAATAGTTCTATATTAAGCAAAAAAAACCCTAAGCATCATTTGAGAGAGATTGTTTTAGGAGAAAACCAATGCCTTGAACTTTAATCTCAATAAATAACAATATCCAAGTAGAACTTATATGTTTCCATTTTTTCCATTTTCTTTGTTTGTTATGTTGCTGGCAGTGTTGAACAGCTGTCCCCAGTCACTGCTGGTCCCCAGCAAGGCTTCTTATCAAGCTATCAACTTTGTCATTCCCTATAGCTGAAAACTGCCAGTTAAGACCCAGGTAGGGAACAGCTGTGGTAGTGAAGAAATGGGTGCCATGCAGCTCTGAAGAACTTGCTTACTGCAGGTTTTCCAGTGGTGGAATCTGTGTACCAAATGCTGATGGAAAAAGAGCCAGAAAAACTCACATGCATTGCGGCACCCATGACTAGAACACCAGACAGAATCTCCTGGAAGCCTGTACACATGCATGAAATCACAAACAGCACACTGTCACACACAGCACCACATGTATCCAAAAATAAACACTGTCAGAATTAAAGTAACAAGACAAGCTTTGTTGGAGTAGGTTTAAGAAAAAATATCAGTTGCTACTTTTGACTTCTCTTAAATTGGTCATCAAAAGAAGAAATTAATGAAAAATACAGAAAGTACATCATAACCACATTGTTTTTATTAATAGAGTTAAAATTAACAAATTTTTAGAGCTAACAGGTTTCAGCATTTTTATATAGACATACTTTTCTCATATTTATTTATTTTACATCTTTTTAGTTTGCACTGGTTAGCTAAGATATCTGTGCTCCCAAACAGTAAAACCGAAATGAGGCATTAATGCAAAGGACAAGTAGTGCTAAACAGGACAAAGCAAACACAAATTAATTGCTGGAACTAGCGCTACTTCAACTTATTGTGTTAGGCTGGAAATAGATTAAACTTCCCTTGAACACTAAAAACTTTCCAATTTTTATAGTCATATAGAGATAATTCATTAATCAATTTTGATTCATGATTTATGATTTTTCATAAATCCCAACAAATCAATTGGCTTCGGAAGTCAAAAATCAAAAGAATATGACTTCTACTAACTTTAGATATGCTATCCTTCTATATATGTACATAGTTTCAAGAGCCATTACAAGATTATTACTTTAAATATTCACATTTTAATGCCTTTAGGACAAGCACCAGGTAGCAAATGGCAAAGATATAGACAAGATTTTTTAGAAATTTTGATTTGTTTATCTGCCCATACTCTTACAATAGTATTCAATAACTGCAGGCTATTTCTGCATTTTCTTCAAATAAAATGTACCACAAAAATAAAATAATGTGTCCTTATTTATTAAACTGGTTTACTGAATCTCTTTATGATTGAAATTATGTCCAATATCTTCTACTGAAAAAAAACAATTCTAAACTACTTAAGCACTGCTTTTCACAGTACATCAGGACTCAAAAATAAATAATCCTCCTTCCTAGTCAGGGTAACATAGTTTTACATACAGCTATATGATTGTATATTTATGTTAATATTCTTCATTGATATCTGAATCCCAAAATGTAATATTTTGATCTGAGGAAATGGGGCTTTCCAGCTGTAACTCTCAAGATCATCTCATCAGTCATTATACATAAAACATTAATTTCATCAGAATTGTTTTCAGAAACATAAGGAAAAAAATGCTCCTGAATGGACCAAATACCTCCATCACTTTTTTTCACACCTCAAGTTTTCATCCAAAACAATCTATTACTGTGTCAAACTGGCTGCTTATTTTTAAAATCATTTGCAATAATACCTGTCTCACAGACAGGTGGCAATACGCTAGGCCTCTGAATTTGTCACATTTAATTTCAAACTTGCACTTGGAGTATTTTATCCTCCAGAAGCATCAATATTTCTCAGGCAGTGTGAGAGGATGCATTTTCCTGTAATATACAGCCACATTATTTTGAAACGCCAATAAAATGCTTTGTGAGACCTGTCCTCCAAAAACACATCTTCAGAAGACTTTTCCTTTACCTGCACATCAGTGCATGACCTCCAACACAGCCTCGCTGCATTTCAGGCAGTGAAAGGATCTCTTTGGAAAGTATAATCTACATCAAAAAGTTACCAAACAACACATCACAAACAGTAAGTCTTGTTTTAAACGGCTCAATTTGAAATATGGCTAGAGACCTGCCCAAAATACAGGATCAAAACACCATGTGGTTTCTGTGGTTGTATGGGAATTCTAACACTTCTTATTTAAAGCTGTTCTGTTTTTGTATTTCCCCCATGGTCTTAATAAACACTCTCATTTTAAACATATAAATTATAGTAACTGCAATTTAAGTACTTCCACACAATTTCTGTAATCTTCAGCTTTACAATTTAACACCATTTATGTATAACAACACACACGTCATGTAAAGAGGTAAAGTATTACCCTAATTACATAATTACTTGCAACTCTCAATTGCAAGCAATGTAAGAGTTATCACCTGAGCAAAATAAAACCTATTCAGAAAATTAATTTTTGAAAGGTATGCTACATAGGGATATCAAACCAACAGGATTTAAGGAAATTTGCAATGACAGGAAAACACTGCACATGATGTGAAGAGACAGTGTATCTGTGTCTTCACGCATCAGTCACAAATGCACGCTTAAAAGTGCTCAGGTTTTTATCTATATGTTTCAAGGACACTCAAATTACTACCTGTATAGAGATATCCAAGTAGAAGGGGAGCATCAATCAAGCAGTGTACTACTGTTTGATTGATGGGAATATGGGAGTTGCTTTTAGTGCTGCTTTATATGTTGCACATTTTTAAGAGTAGACAAGAATTAGTCTTAATCCTCTAACACAACATTTGAAAATATATTGACCTCAATCCCTTTCACTTCAATAAAAATGTCCTCATTATTACAAAACCTTTCAAAACTAGCCAAAAATGACAGTTCAACTGGAGCCATAGATTTTGTAATATACCTGCTCCTTCAAGAGTAAATAAAAGCTAATAAATAAATAAGGACATGTAATAACTGAAAAAAGCTAATTGAGTCTTGCACTATTAAACCCTTAATACATTAAACATACAGCAATTACATACTAATTTTGTAGGTCATCTTCCCTGCATTGGGACACAAATTCTCTGACTTCATTGCAACTTCACCAGAACTGCTCTGTGATCCATATCTTGGGAAGACTGGTTTCCAATAAATATTAAGCTTCAGATTAGGCATCTGATTCTTAATCAGAATCTTGGGCATTTTCAGACTGAAGTTCTACATAACAGTTTAAATGGGAAGAAAATTTGGTGACTTGAGTTAAATTAAAAAAACTAATAATGAAATATGTAATAACATAAACCCAATTCTTCATCCTATTATAACCAATCAGTTGGATATAAAAAAACTTGCTAACCAGCATCTCTACAGTCTCCCAATACTTTCAACATTCAGTTGCTAATTTATGAACACCCATATGAAAAACTTACACTGTAGAGTCTTCGTTTCACTTTCTCACCTCTAAACTCCTGGAACACTTGGTATAATAGGAGACAACAGGAGGCAGCACAGTAGCTACCCTCTCTGTATGATGAAGAAAGGAAACTTGTGCTGTCCACATAATGGTATACCACATAAAAATACAGTGTTTCTATGTTGTATGATTTAGGATTATGGCAGGATAGTGTCAAAGCAACTTGTAAAAGCAAGGCAAGTACAACCTGACTCAGACCTGACTGGTCTTGTCCAAATGGAAAAAAAAAATATTAAATTAATTTCTTAATTTAAGTAACAAAGACTCTTGTGTAAATTTGCAAGACTTGGAATTCTGAGCTGTATGGACAAACTTATTACTAAAAAAAAAATAAATTTACACTCCTTATATAAGCTAGATGCACATAACCACCATATTTCATTATTTTTATTAAGCACCAACAGAACACCATGAGGAAAATTAACAGAGGATAAAATAATTTCCAAAATACTACATCTTTGCATTACTACATACCAGACACTTAGTTCCAGTAACTGACTTACTAGGCTATTTAATACTATCTGTAAGAAAAGGGTAAAAAGAACACTAGTAGAATCTGCCAGTACTCCACAGGTATGCAACAGAATGTCTCACACTGCAGCATACAGAAACAAATATGTTCTTACAAAAACCATGCAGCTGACCATATCCATGAACATTTTCATCAGAGTAATGCTTTTTCTTGGCCTCTGCTGCAACCTGTCCCTGAAGCAGGGCAAACATGCTCATTGTTAATGAATCCTTAGGGGTGGAAAACCAAAACTACGTTAAATAAGCAATGTAACAAAAAATTTATGAGAATAAGTGCTTTAAAACCATAACTAGGGGGGGGGAAACCTGCGGAACATTGGAAAAGGCATCTCTATCTGTCTTAGAGTGTTTGATCATCTTAAGAGTGGAAAATTCAAAAGAGAAAAAGAAAGAAAAAGAGGCAGTAGAAGAGAGAGAAAGATACCACCATGCATGGCTTCTGTGATGCATGGGTGATTTTGGCCCATGGCTGTGATGTACAGTCCATCAGAGGAGAAGGCCCGCAAAAACTAGGGGGGTTATAACCCTGGCTCTTCTGGTAAATGCCCTAATACCTCCTGCATGAGTTCTGAGCATGAAGAACAGTCTTCTTCCTGGAAGAATTCTGGAAATCTATCTGTTTTGCAGGTGTGGGGGAGGGTTGAGTGCATGTGTCTCTGTGTTTGAGTGCCTGGACAAAGTTTGTGAGTAAACTGAGTTTTGTGGCTGCACAGTGGTGGCTCATAGTACGTGAAAGAGACTGGCATAAAAAATCCAGTAAAACACTGTTCCACTTCCACAGGTTCCATTGCTTAGTGGTGTTTTTTCCTTTAATTGAAAACAAGATGGTTAAAGCAAAATTTAGCTGCAAGGTCTAAATGCTTCCCTACAGTCTAGCTGAGGCCAAAGGAATCCATATTATTTTACAACCTCTCATAGTGAGAATAATCTCTTCTATTTATGCCATAGTTCTACTTCTACTGCTTGTCAACAGTCACAGATGCTAGTAAATTATTGTCTTAGGTTGGAAAATGCAAGATATGGCCAGGGGTGCGTATTCCATTGCCATCTGTTAGAGCTGGGACAGTTATCTTCTGTTGATTGGGCCACCTGTTAAAACCATGTGGGGCAGTTTTCTTTATCTCTTCCAGAACCCATCCCCCTTCAGGGGAGACATCTTCTGTTAATGGACCATTGAGTGTCACTGCGTGACTGATAAAATTACATTATCCCATTGGGAGATGCTCCACCCAGGGGAAAGAGCCAAGTGTTCCTACCTGGAGATAATCTGAGATTTAGAACACCACAGGCAGCCTTTTCCCACTGGACTCCCAGAGGAGCAGCTTTCTTTTCCACTGGATTCCCAGAGGAAGACCATCTACACCACCACTGGACCTTCAGAAGAAAACTACACCCCTCTACAGGCTCACTGCTTCAACAGAACCACATGTGTCACTCCAGGAGGACTGCAGTCACCATTCAATCAGACTGCTACCAACACCCTGACCCACAGGGTGTCAGGTGGTATTCTGACTCTGTCAGTGTTGTCTTGTATTACTGCATTTTTTATACTTTTATATTTTCTTTTAATTTTTTTTCCTACTCCCATATCTTTAACTGAGAGCCCCTTAATTTCAAAATTATAATAATCTGGAGGGAGAGGGTTTGCTTTTTTCTTTTCAAGGGAGACTTCTGCCTTATTTAGCAGACACCTGTCTTTTCAAACCAAGGCAATTATTACAGAAAGAGATCGGTCACAACTAAGAGTATCTAGAAACCTGGAAACTATTTTCACTTACAATTGTGCAGCTCATAAAAGTAAGACTGATGAAGGAATTACAATAAACTTAGAAAATTATACAATTTTGTAATTGTACTGTAAATTTAAAAAATTGAATTAAAAATAATCCTTTTAACATTAGTTGCCAAAAAGCAGAAACACTACCTTTTCAACTTTATTTTTCATATGGAATAGGATTCAAATCTCTTATTTAGAAATAGCAGACTAGGTCCAAAATTCTTTAACCAATGGTTTACTGATGTTTTTCCATATTAATCAGTACTATTCACCTACAACTGACTTTACTTGATCCATCTGAATCCCTTCTAACTAACTATGTAAGGGAGGACTCAACTCAGGTTAAATATGCTATACTGTACCAGAAATATCGCTCAGTGTTATCTTAAGAAGAATTAGAAAAGTCAAATTAATCTCATAATTTGATATTTACTCTTGTGCTTTATGTCATTCAACCAGACCTCAACCACAGGAGTGATGACATTTATTAAAATACTTAAAATTACCGCTTCTCGCTGGTCTCCTGGAGCCAACAGAACTGTCAGGATTATACTTCCCAGATCATGGTCAGGGTAATGAGGATCCTTCAGACTCAAGGTAACATCTGTTTGCCTAGGAAACAAAATATATGCATTTACTTGGATTTCAGACTCTTAGATAAGGAAATTTCTCAATCATAACAATGGAAGGCATCTGAATTAATGCGAAGCTACTTAGAAAACAGTGGCACAAATTTGCCCTACTTCTACTTATAAGTATTTCTGCTGAATGCTCATAAAAAATACAAAATATTTTTACTCTGCATTAAGTACTGTATTACATGTACTGAAGTAATTAAATAAAAAATGTAACATTAATGGGTTAAAAAAACCCAAAAAAATTAAAACATGAGGGGGTAATGCTGTGAATGAAGCTAATATGAAAACAAGATTAACATGGTCGTAAAGCAAACCTCTCCATAGACACTGTGAAAATGTGCATAATCAGCTAATAAATTAATCGTATTCATAACACAATAATTTCTTAAACATAAGTGGTTTTCTTTAGTTAGTTTTATGCTGTGTAGGTTTCTATAATTATTTTCTAGCATAAAGTTTTACTTACAATTCCACAAACATTTTTATTAGCAGATAAAAAAATATATATATTCCATAGGCTTGTTTGTGCCATACCTGTTTAATTCCAGGGATGTGAGATCCAAAAATGCTGAACCAATGAAGTCATCTTGAAGTCCAAAGTCATAATCAAATACCTATGATGCACAAGAGCATTTTTTAGTACTAGAAATATTTCTTTTTTTAGAGCTTTTCTGACTATGAATCATTCTTCAAACTCTTTTTCCAGGGCTGTAGCTTCATGTCTCTTACTTGCTGAATCAGGACTACCTGAAAGTAACTTGAAACTTTCTGACCAGAAAATCAAGGTTGAAGCTGCTGGTTTATAAATCAGACTGCATCATATAGCGACACTGGTGTGTCTAATACTAGTATTAGACTACGCATGTGAACAACAGCAATTTTTAAAAAATGAAAGAAATACTTTTATAAACATAGGCGCTGAAAGAAGGAAGATCAAAACAATAAATAAAGTTAAGCAGAATCACTGATTTCTTATAAATTGATTCCTTTATGAATCCTGCAAAGTGGAAGCAGGAGGGCAGGATATGGTTACGAAAAGTGCTTCCACTTTTATTATAACAGTTGCATAAGTATTTGAAATAATTGTATGTAATATAATTGTAGCTTTTGAAGGCTATGCAACTTTCAAGGGTTAGAAACATTACAATGTAAGATTAAAACTGAAGGGGTATGTGTAGAGAAACAATGACAATTAATACTTTACCATGAGAACTCTGCCTCTTAATTTACTACCCAAAACAGAAAATACCTTGATAAATTTACTGACATCCAGACATTAATCTGGCCAGTACATCAGAAGGTATTACTTGAGATGGGTTATAACTTCCTAAGTCTGAAGAAAGAATAACAAATAATCCAGGGGCAGCTATTGCAGGGAAATAAACAAAAAGATGGACAGCAACAAAGAAAAAATGCAACACACATTAAAAAATCAAAAAAAGGGAAAAGATCAATTATCAAAATCAACTTTTAAGGTAAATTAACTTTTTTTGAGTAAACGTGAGGTATTCTGATTACTAGAACATATCTTCAGCTAAGTAAGAGTGAGACATGTTAATACCTTGTAAGGAGAAAGGAAAAAAATTGAGAATATGACAGGACTAGGTTCAAGGTCTTCAACTCTAATGTAAGTACTTCTGCTATTGTACTACAGAAACTATTCCAGAAGGAAAACAGTTATCTTCTACAAATACATTAATACATACAGGGTTAAGACAGTAGTAACAGAAATCCTTTGGCCCAAAGGCTACAGCACAGCTGCACAACTCAATAGGTCGGATACAAGTATGTGAGCACAAGTCTCTCACATGCATCAATCTACCTGAGTGTTCACCCTTGCATTTTCTATATCTGTTAGTCATTCCAGTGGGGAAAGAAAACAAATTATGAAATCTTAGTTCATGGTGCAATGTCAAAATTGTTTTCTCCCTTTCTCCCCCTCTACAAATTATCATGGTAAAAATACCAAGTATTTTTAGCTTAGTAAAATTCAATAATGTCTTAAAATATCTGAATGATCTGTAAAACCTAAAATACTTTACACACTGTGTTCAGAGTACAACCATGATAGACATACCACTTGGCACACTTTTCCTAGGGGAATAACATACACATCCTACTGCAGGGCTGATACTTGGCATAAATAAACTAAAACAGGTGGCTACATTGCAAGCCTTTCCATCTTCCTCTCTCCTTCACCTGTTAATTGTTTATGAGTCACTAAACATAATAAAGGCAGGAAAATGCCATTTGAGGATTCTGTTTAGCTTTTAAGCTTTTCTAGTTATGATGTACTTTATGCAGGCAGCATGAAACATAGTACTGATTAATACTTAAAAGATGTTCAAGTGGCATTGCTCTACTAAAAAACCCCTACAATCTGACATTTCAGTTTAAAATTCTGTAATGAATTTTAGATTAAGAATTATACTGATCTAAAACATCATGTAATTTCAGATCATCTAAGAGGATTATATAGGTGAACCAAGTTTCCATACTTCCCAAAGTATTTTCAATGTATACATGTATTATTTTGAATCCTAGGACTACAGTTTTTCTAAATAATTTTTGGGAACATAATTTTATCTACTTTGTTTTACACAACTAAGAATCACTTTTGCTTATAGATCACCATAAACTACCAAGGTCAGAAAAGCACCTTTCTCTTCTGTGGGCACAAAACAATCATCACAGTTTTTCTGGTTTTCATTCCAATATCAACATCTAAGAAATACTAGTGGCACTGCTGCTTATTAGTCAGGACATTGCTGGCCACTTTTTGATCTCAACTCAAGCAATCTGTTATTTCAGAATAATGGGTGCCTCTAATATGACAAACTCATCCTCGCCTGTGATTTACTAGGGAGAGCTACCATGTAAAAATTGTAAGAGCAAAAAAATGGTATGAAATATAGAAGAAAATTCACTATGTTCCATACAAACAGAAAAATTAGAAAACTCTGGAGAATCAGGTATACATCTCAACAAATTCTCAAAAACTGACCTCAATGTTGAATTGTTTTTAATGGGACAGATTATGCTTCATATCATCATCATGCAGTGATATTTCCATAAATAAAATGGGTAATGAAATATAGTTTACTTTCTCTGCTCTTCTGCTAAAATCACACTAAAGAAATATAAAACAATTATGACCTGAAGTAAAAAAAAATGCCTGTATTTGCCACTTTTAAAAATGTTGACGTCATCATTCTACAGACAAAACTTCAATAATTTTCACTCTAAATAGTTTTTAGTCTTCACTATTGCACAGTACATTTTCCAGTATATAGAAAATCACAAAACCTGAATTCTTCCAATAATTCTTCTGTTCTAATTTATCAGACATACATAAGTTGGTGTCTTACCTTTATATACAATGGTTCTCTTAGGTTATCTATAAGAATGTAAGCTTTTTCTTCCCACACAGGATTGAGGTTTTTGTGTACTGTTTTACTTCTAAAGACTTCTTTTCCTCCAAGTTTGAACTTGACATATGGATCACTTGTTCCTGGTAAAGACACATATATATACTGTTAATTCTATCTTTGTAATACAGAAAGAAAATGGAAACTAAATTACTTCAAACAGAACTAAATGTAATTTCTATAGATAGTCAAATTCAAAACAGCATCTAAAGAAAAGAATACTTTGTTGTCACAATCTGTTACTTTCCAGAGTGTCAATACTCAAGTTAATTGACTCCATTAACATCAAATGTGTGCTTGCATCAATTTCTGTTGTTTGCAATCCATTCTCAAAATCATATATGAAATACTGGCAGTATTTGTTTTAGTTAACAGAATTATGTCCTTACTAGGGCTAGGATATTATCTTAATATAATTATGCTGTGCCTTTGAAAAGGCACATACTCTACCAACATCACCAGTGTAAGTCTTCATTGTGTCCAAGCTTTTCTTTTCGGTATAGACTCACTTTCTATAGCACTCACAATGAGAAAATTAAAGTCTGTCCACAAAGCCCTCAACACGCCTTCTGCAACAATCACCTACTCACCAGAGAGCCTCTTGAACAAAGCCTCTTGAAACAACCGATTAACAATTGTGATCAGAAAAACAATCCTGACAGGTATAAGTAAAATGTTATATATGCCATAAGAATGTCATATGATGGGATGTGTATGTGGAAGTATCACAAGGACTGAACCACCTGTGAGAGGAGGAGTCTCGGAGTGGGTGGGCGCAGAGACTTGCAGTCATCCAGGAGCGAGACTAACTCACCAAAGGCTATCTTAAAATAAACCGTAACTCCAGCTTCAGTAACAACTGCATCTTCATTAACAGCAGCAAAATTATAAAACAAGGCTTCTTTTTTCCTTTAACTTTTAGGGCTTTTCAAGAGACCAGAAGATTGTAGAACTCTTCATTTGTATCCACTAGAAAATACATGCAAAAGCTTGTGCATAGCTTTTCTTAAAAAACTGCAACATGCTCTTCTAAACATAAATTAGAAGGGTTATGAGCAGCATTCTTTGCATTATTTCATCCAGCCACAAGATGTCAGTACTCTTTACCTGAAGTTAATGTCTCCTTTAAAAAACTACAGCAGTGGAAAATGACGGTCTCTTGTGTTACATTCATTCACACCTGTAATTCCTGGGGCAGAGTTTCAGGGGCACAAAAATGTTTTGTCTAGCACAAGTAACTTGGTTATTCAAGCAGTGGTGATGATTTTGAAATCAAAGATCAGTTATTTAAATTAATTCTGGCAGATTTTAACTGGCTAGATGTCTGCTGGAAACTCAACACAGCAGAGAGGAGGCAGTCTAGGAGGTTCTTCGAGTGTGTGGAGTTTCCCATTCACAGCTGGCAAGGGAGCCTACCAGGGCTGAGATTCCACTAGACCTGCTCTTCGTAAATAGAGAAGGGATTGGTGAGAAATGTGGTGGTCAGAATGCCCACCTTGGACATAGTGATAGAGTTTTTAATTCTTGGTGAAGTAAGGAACAGTGAAGTAAGGAACAAAGCCTCTGCCTTGGACTTCTGGAGGGTGGACTTCAGCCTGTTCTGGAATTGGTTCAGAAAGTGTGCTGGGAAATAAAGAGGTCCAGGAAGGCTGGACGTAGTTTAAGAAGAAAAGCTTATAGATGCAGAAATGAAATGTCCCTATGTGCGGGGAGATGAGCTGTTAGGAAAGCCTCATCAACAGGAAACTTTTGCTGGAACTCAGGGGGAAAAAAAGGGGGTTTATGACCTTTGGAAGAAAGAGCAGGCAACTAAGGAAGTGTAAAAGATGTCATTAGGTCATGTAAAGAGAAAATTAGAAAGAAAAAAGCTACAACTCAATTTGTCCACTGCTGTGAAAAAAAAAATAAAAACTCTTTTTATAAATATATTGACAACAAAAGGAGGGCCAAGTAAAACCTCCATCCTTTTTTGAATGCAGGGGGAAACACTGTCATCAAGGAAGAGAAAAAGGCTGAGGTACTTAATGCCTTCTTTGTCTTAGACTGTAACAGTAATACCAGTAAGACCAGTTATTCTCAGGTAAACCAGCCCTTGAGCTGGTAGACAGGGGAGGGGAGCAGAATAAACATTCTGTAATGCAAGAAGAATTAGTGACTTGTGAAGCCATTTCGACAGTCATAAGTCTATGGGACCAGATGGGATTTACCCAGGAGTACCGAGGGATTTGGTGGAAGAGCTCACCAAGCTGCTGTCTGTCATTTATTTATCATCAGGTCCCAGATGACTGGGGATTAGCCAACATACTGCCCGTACATAAGGAGGGCTGGAAAGTGGATCCAGGGAGCTACAGGCCTGTCAGCCTGACCTTAGTACCTTGGCAGGTTATGGAGCAGATTCTCTTGAGTGTATCATACAGCACATACAGGACAATCAAGGGATCAGGCCCAGCCAACAGTGGTTTAAGAAAGGCAGGTTCTGTTCGACCAACCTGATTTCATTTCATGACCAAGTGACCTGCCTGGTGGGTGATGGAAACGCTATGAATGATAGAAAGGTTGTGTACCTGGTGGATGATGGAAAGGTTGAGTACCTGGACTTCAGCAAAGCCGTTGTTACTGTCTCCCACAACATTCTCCTGGAGAATCTGGCAGCCCATGGTTTAGGCAGGTGCCCTCCTTGGTGGGTTGAGAACTGTCTGGATGGCTGGGCCCAGAGCATGTGACTGCATGTTGTCACATCCTGCTGGTCACTAGCTATGTTCCCCAGGGCATTTTAATTCTAATATCCACATATAAATTTACCCAATGAACATGCAACTTCCCATTTATTAAGGCAGAGTTCACCAGCTCACTCACCTCCACGGTCCCGTGCAGCTAGATTCTGTCCTCTTCTTAGAGTAACATCCAACTGGTACATTCCAGGGTCCCCAGGGGGGAAATCTGCATTACTAGTTCCAAATGAATTTGTTCTCTGGGGAGGAAAAAAAAATGCAATAGCTAATGTTACTAAAAGTTTCACATAAGGTGTATGTATATAACCTTCTGAAGTACTGAACTAAGAACAGGCCACATCCCACTCCCCCACCTCAGAGCTACTACCCAACATCAAGGAATCTACCCCTTGATGTTGGCTAGTAGCTCAACACAACAGTTTCATCAGTATGACAATTACCAAGATTCCTTTAAAAACAAAACAAAACAAAACAAAACAAAACAAAACAAAACCCAAACCAAAACACACAAACGAACAAAAAAAAAAAAAAAACAAAAAAAAAAAAAAAAAAAAAAAAAAAAAAAAAAAAAACAAAAAAAAAACACAAAAAAAAACACAAACAAAAAATACCATAAATCCCCCAAAACAACAAAAAAATCAAACTGGTTGAAAAATAATTCTTTGATACAAAGGGGTTGGAAATTGATAGTCTTTAAGGTCCCTTCCAACCCAAATTATTCGATGATTTTATGAATTACAGTTGCAATTACATTAATATCTAGTCCTGGCCCACTAAAGCAAAATAAGTAAGAAAAACACAAAGCTAGACCTTATAACATTATTTGGACTAGTCATTACCAGTATCTTCAAATTCTGCAATGATTCAATAGCTATAATGTATGCATTGAATAAACATACATAAATTAAGATGTGGTGCGCTATTGTAGTACTTTGCAAGCTATGTGGGTTTTTTTCCACAGAGTTTTGGGAGAAGCTGTGGCAGAAAAATAATCATAAAGATATTAAATGCATCTGTAGTTCTGTATGCCAGGGCAAATATTCTTAGATTAGTTATATATATAAAACGTGTCCTAAGAAAATACAATAAAGGAAGTCAGAATGCAAGAAACTCTCCAGTCCTCTGGAGTGCATGAACAATAAACACATTTCTGTCCAAAAAACAAAGTACAGTAATTATATTTCTTAGTATACACAAGCTTTTGCAGAAAAGTTTTTAACACATCTCTCTAAGTAGGATCCAATTACAGCACACACTTGGAACACCACATTTAATTTTAAGGCTAGAAAAATTAAAACAATTATACATTCACAGTACTTCAAGAACTTCATCTGTTACACACTTTGTATTTACATATGCTCATGCTAGCAGCTAAATCTTTTAAGAGTAGTGCTATTAATATTTTATGATGTGATTATGGGTCCTCTGCAAGAAAAAAAAATTGTATGATGGAAATATCTCAGAACATGTAGCAATAATGTGCTATACCATTTCAACAAGAAACTAGTTTTATCTCTTTCTTCCTACTAAACCCTTTATTATTTTTTAAGTAATACTAAAGCTAAAGCATGAAGGAAGACACAAAATAAAGGTATTTCAATATCTGTTTTTTTCTAGTGATTTCAGAGTCATAACTTCAAGCCCTAGCATATCAACCTTTGCTATAAAGGTTATAAACACTTAAAATGCTGGCCAAAATGCACAGTGGCATGCGCACTGGTTCCACAGCTGTGAAAGAGGGACAAAGAATGTCTGGCAGCAAAAAAAAGCAAACAGAAGAGTTTCCATCAAGTTGCTCCTCTTTCCATCTGCCTCCATATCCTAATTTTGGAGCAAGTTTGCTGACATTTATTGATTTAAATCTAATATAAAATTTTACTTCTGCAACACCACTTGCAGAGCCTAGGACAGTACAGCAAATTACAGCAAAAAAGAAAATTAAACCAATTTCTTAATTTCTCCACTAAGATTATAAACTTATTTTTCAAGAAAGAAACCACAGCTTCCTTGCCAGTTCTGCTACACATTGCTCTCTCCACCTTCCCCCCATGACACTACCTCCCTTGTTTTATCACAAATTAAAAACTGTCTTATGTTCTCTTCTGTGAAAAGCAACTACTGCAATCATACCAGTTTATTAGTTGTTTCTTACAAACACAATGGGTCACCTACAAACAACAAATTGCCACCACAGGGATTCAGACTCTAAGTTTTTCAAGGACTGAAGGAAGTAATTTTCTTACTTTTTCCCTCCTTTTCATCCTTAGGAATATATTGCCTCAACCTGTTTCTATGGGTCTGTGTAACAGATTTTTTTAATGAAACCATGTAACCATTTAGAGCAATTTCAGTTCCAGAAGAAATTAATACTAGTTACTGGGTAAACACTTCCTTTTAGCAAGAAGCAGACAAACCAGTCAGTGTGCAAGTACCCACCAACATCTCTTATGACTGTTCGCACCTGTGAAGATGTAACCTCCCCAAAGGAAAAGGACACTAGATTATACTGATGAAATCAGAACTTCTGCTGGAAATCACACACAATGCACTCAAACACTTCATATGGGCCAATGTAAATCATCCTTGGCTGATACCAAATGGAGCAGGATGTTATTGGATATGTGGGAATAAAGACCATAAAGTGTTGCCCCTAGGCTGGAAAGGCATTCGTACTTTCGAAGCTTAGTCCTCAACATAACAATAATTGATAAAGAACAGGTGCCCTCAGGACTATGGATAAGGAGCTATTTGATGTGTACAAAATACACGTTAAATGCTGTAACTGAGCGACCAACTAAATTTTATAGCTTTGTATGGTGGTTTTTAGCCTGGCTAGGAGCAAGTGAATTAGAAAAGACAATAGTGGATTTTTTTCTGCTACCATAAAATATATAGAGAAAATCATACAATAGGTGTCATTGCAGAAAGAAGTTAAGAGTTTGTCCCATGTCAAAATGGCACTAAAACGAATGGCACTAGACCCTCTCTTGGCATCACAAGAAGTATGCACTGTCATTAACACCAGTTGCTCTGTATACATTGATCAAAATGGTAGAGTGTTTACAGATATCCAGGAAATCTGGAAACAAACACAAATTTGGCAATGCACAGCTTAAGATGACACCTCCTGGGGACCTGAAGAAATCTGGATCAAACTTATTCATGGCTACCCAGATGAACTTTAAAACATGTTTGTAATTGTCACCATAGTAATTGCTCTGTGTGTTTTAGTTTGCATTGTGATTCAGCTGTTGTAATGTCTTATACTATAAAATGAAATACAGATATTAATGGACCAGCTCCCTTAAGGAACTTAGTCTCAAGAGAAGGGGAGACTTGATAAAAACAGTGGAACAGAACAGCATATTACTCTCACAAGGACAGTCAAACAGAACAGCACAGCATTGGAGAAATAGATAAAGGATGTAACTTAGGCAAAGAGGAGCTGTGCAAAATGCAAGCAGGATGCCAGCTCAGCACTGCAAGGCTGGCAAAGCAGAAGTTATGCAAAACAACAATACTGTGTTAACTCAAAAACTGGGGTTGAGGAAAAGCCACCTAGAAAAGACACCTGACATTGAAGACCACCAAAGAAAACCATATCAGGACTTTGACAAGAGGTGTGGTATGTAAAATACAGTAATACATATACATTAGGTAATCAGGGATAGGTGACGAATATGTGATCATTGTTTATGATAAAAGCTGTGTTTACCTGACATTCAGGGCACTTGATTACAGGAAGGATCCTCTGAGTGACCAGCAAAATGCTAGTCACTGAGTGGATGAATGCCTGATTCCTAATACTCAAAACTGTGTTAGAAGAATATTTCTATCTGGCCAATTTTGGTACCAAGAATGAGCCACTTTACCCTGTCCAAACACTGGAATAGGTTGCCCAGGAGTGTCTCTGAAGACCCCTGAAAACTGCTCTGACTTTGTCCCTGCAAACCTCATCCATCCTGTGATTTTTTTATTATTGATTTGAAATGTCATAGTAAATAAAGTATATGCTGACCTTAGCTACCTTTCCTCAATGCACTGTTTTGCCTTCCACTTCTGGCTGCCCTCATATGTGAGTGCTGCAGTTGGCATTCAGAACTACAATCCCCTCCACCCCTTAAGAGAAGAGTACGTCCAAGATACCAAGATGCACATAAATACTGAATTTTTCAAAATAAGCTAATATATATGCTTTGCATTTATGCTGCAGTGCTTATAAAAGTTGTAGCCATTCCCTGGACATTTCAGTCTTTCTCTGTGAAGCAGCCCATTACTTTCAAAGGCACATCAAGCCATACTGTGTATGACTCGACAAACATGAAGCTGCTTTCTACATATACTTGTAGAAAGCAAGTTACCTGCACTCTGAAAAATCCCAAATATTATCTTTTTCAAAAATGAATAAAGCATAATAAATTCAAGTCATCATGAAACAAATTAGATGTGACTTTCAGAAGAATTATTGCAGAATTACTCTGTTTCCAATACAAGGAAAAAGACTGAGCTGTTCCGTGCCATTTTGGTTTTAAGAAGATTTTTGGAACTTCCATGGCTTGTCTGAGTACATTTTTGCAAGTACATATGTACTCACACTCACAGATACATGATGCATGCACAAAGTAAAAGGGGAAATAGAAGCAGGGTCTAAGGGGATGAAAATAACACTGAAAATACAAAAATTACATATTTCTTTCCCGCCAAAATCAGACGCTAAATTTCCAAAGTTATTGAATTGTTAAGCATCAAAATCATACCCACATTTTCTTTTTCCTATTTTTCCCAAAGACTAAGTCTCAGACAGATGCAGCACTATTCTAATTTCTGGCAGCTAGCATTACTGTCACCTCTAGAAAATCTTGCACTATCACATAAAAAAATTCTCTCACTTGCCTGAAGAGTGCAGAATTACACAGCAAGTGATGTCAAACAAGGCAGATGAAAGATAATTCAATTAGGAACCAGAGAGAGGTGTCACATCCAAATCAAAGATGATCTGTGAACAATTAGGCGCCTCCATTTCAAAAAAAGATAAATACCTGAAGTCAACATAAATGCCACATACATTGTTCGCTTGAAAAAAATAATCTCCAATCGTTGTATCTAAACTTAAATCATTAATGTTTTCACTACAGAAAACAATACTAATATATTCCTACCTCAATTTTCCATATTATTAATCCCAGTTATTTATATAAATACATATAAACACATTTTCCATAACTTGGGTTATCCAGAA